CTCAAGTCCCCTCTTTGTCTGTGAGGAAAGTGACCAGCAATCACTGCCATATCGAACGATTGATGCTACATGCTACATTCATGTCTTTGTTTCTAATTAATTTTTCCTGTTTCTTTATATTTTGTTTAGTTTTTGGAAGACATCTTTCGCTATTTTAAAGCGACTTCGGATTTCGGTGTCACAGTTTCTGTCCGATGTCAACATCAAAGAATTATAGAATTTTAAATGCAGGGCAGAGTTTAAATACAATAGAAAATGCGACACCGAAATTCGAACGCGCATCGAATTATCAAAAATGCTTTCCAAAAGCCAATTTTAAAAAAATACTAAGAAACAAAGATTTTGTTAGAAACAAAGATTTCGTTAGAAACAAAGAAAGGAGTGCTGAATTGCAATTTGATACCAATCTTCTTGTATGGTATTGAATGCTGAACAATCTCACCACAGGTAAGGAGGAATCTGTATGTAACAAAAATGTGAGTTCTACAGATAAATGGTGAGAATTCCATGGACGGAGCAAGAAAGTCTTGAAGAAAATGGTAACAGAATCAGAAAAAGACAGCTGAAATTTAAACTGACTGTGTGTGGAAATTGTCCAGCATTCTTGCCTCAATAGGAAGATGACTATTACATAACAATTTAGTAATCTCAGTGAAAATTTCTGATTATAAGTGTTCATTTTAGTTTCCGTTTTCTTTAGAACTTCATCGATATTCACATGTTTTTTCCATGTATTCTCATCATCCTTCTGTAGAATCACATCTCTATTGCCTCTCCTCTTCGACTCTGAGGAAATTGACCAATATTCACTAACATATAGAAGAACTGATATTGACATAGCAATGAAAAGAAAAGAGAAGCAAAAATTCCTATATATTCCTTTTGCGATTTAAAATTCGACAACAAACGGCTCTAATATATGGACAAACTAGAATTTTTATACACTTACATACATAAAGGAATATTTACGGTTTTTCAGTTAGGCTTGGAATCTGTTCATTTCTTGAAACTTCGGATGGACACATCGTCTCTCCTTGAATCCGGAACGCCACAAATTATACTAACGTTGGTTTAAAGAGTCGAATACACGTGAAACAGGATTGGCCAATGAAAATCAAACCATACAAAAGCAAAAACTACCAGAATTTCTTTCTTCTTTTTCCCCATATCTCGTTCTATGATGAAGTTTTAACACAAGTGAAATATGTTACATTTATAAATGTTTCTTATTTGTTCCTTATCTTATCATATATATATGTATAAAAAATAAAAAGACACACACACTATGATCGGATCATGCGATATGGTAATTTTATTTATGGTCCCCAATTATCCATAGAAATCTCAACGCATTTTCCTCACACACAGTTTTGTCTTTCTTTCATTCTAACCTGAAGAAGCTAGAAAGAGAGAGAGAGAGAGCAGACGCTCTCGGCGAAACGCGTCGTTTATAGCTTTTCTGATTTGTTACATTATCTTCGCTTTTGTTTCGGATAATATCATATATCCTAAAAACACAAGTATTCCTTCTGCATCAACAGCATTTTCTGTATGGCAATTAAAAAAAACGCACAGCGGAGACGGAAGGTTCAACATTTCCTCTGGCTTTTGCTCGGAGCTGACTCGTACGAGTCTGCCAGGCGACGTCACGTGTCTTTATCTAAGACTTGCGAGTCTGTGACTAAATTTAGATTCACCTAACGTCTTGAGAAAATGAACACAGCATGGGGACCAATATTAGATTTTTTGGCATCAAGTACACGTTTCCGTCATACCTAAAAAAAAATAAAATAAAATAAAAAAGGGAAAAATTATTTGTGTCACTTACACTATTTTTTTAATGACAAAGCAACAGCTGGTTGCCAAAATGATGAATAACGCTTTCAAAATTTAACGGCAAACATACACTCAGCCAGTTATGTGCCATGCGTGATACACGCTTAGGCAATCATGTATCTTTCGATACATGACTGACAAAGCAGATATTTTTTCCCGCAGTAGGTTGCCATTTCTTTCTGCGGTAGACCAGTTGCCATCCAAGGCTATAGAACTCGGTCTGTCCTGCTATTTTACCCATAGCTGAGGGGAGAAGAAGCGGATTTATACCTTTCCCAAAGGTATTAGCACGTAAGTGAATGTAATGGATTCGACTGGAATTCGAACTCGGCTCCCCAATTCCTCAATCCGAGCCGCTATACATCACTCTACCGTGTGTCCGCAATAAGACGGGGGTGTCGAAAGGCCGGTAATTCCAATCTTGCCATGTCAGGTTGGTCTCCATGGCCGAACTGGGAGAGTCATACTTTGGCTCAAAATGTGGTTTCACCGATGGAAAAAGAGCTGCAGTTTTTATTCTTGTCGTTTTCTTTTTATACTATCTGGCTTAACCTGATTTGTTGAATGGAAAAACAATTTATCTCTTAAAGACTTGGACACCTGCTATAGAGCACTGATGATTGTCACGTGTTCGATCCTTACCCTTAGTACTATATACGTGGGCACATCATAACAAGAAAAGACATTTACCTTACACAAATATCTATTTTTCAACATAATCTATTGACTTGTCAATGCCCTTAATCCAACGTTTTATTCATTAATCGCATAAATTAAATATTAAACAGTGAACATTTCAGATCAAATTTCGGGTAATAACTGTGCCTGGCTACGGACTTACTGATACAACTTGTAGAGGCATACTTTGGCTCAAAATATGGTTTCCCTGGTGAAAAAAGAGATACAGGTTCAATTCCTGTTGGAGACACACTTTTTCTTTGGTAGGACTTCTCAATTTAGTCCAATTGTTATTAATGAAGTATTTTTTTACAATGATATTCGCCTAGTACAAGGCCCAAGAGCCACTTGCAAAGAGTTACAGAGTAAGAGGCACCGCCCAAGCAAGAAGATAATGCCACCAAGGCATAAGAGGACCACTGGAAGTCACTTCTTCTCCAACAGTTTCTTTTCTCGCACTTCCCACCAGTGGAACTCTCTTCCGTTTCCTTGCTTCCATGATAGCTACATTGTTCAAAAATTTCAACGTCAATTGCCATCTTTTGTCTTCTTGAACCACGTTTATCTTTTGTCCTCTTCTCAATCTTCCCAATTCCTAGTCTTCTTTTTCACATTCACACCCTGCAACCAGTTCTGACTTAGTGAGTTCGATCCTCACTGGGATCCTAGATCACTTACAATTTAGTGAGTTCGAACCTCACTTAGTGATTCATATTCTCGGTCATATTTAAGCTATAATTACTAAATCGCAATATTAAATTATTTACTGATTACGGGGCCAGTAGCATTTTATAGAAAAGCGTACCTGTGCCACACCCGCCTTACTCGGAGTGTAATGATTTAAAAAAGTTAAAGAGAAGGAAAAAGTTTCAGAAGGAACTGGAAACCCAATCCTAAACAAAAAACAAGGGATGAAACTCTACTCCTGTCCAAAAGACTGAGGAGGAGAGTAAACCGGACGATAGAAAAACATATCTTCTAACAACTCAAATGCGTCTGCACAGTAAAATAACCTTTACACTAATAAGAAATAATTTCGGATAAAATTTCACTTGTCCCTTTGGCGTGGTCTCTTTTTCGGTTATTTTAATTGATTGATTTTGTTTAACGACATATCAACACCTCTATGGGTTATTCAATGTCGAAATCTAAATATTTTGAACACAATTTTATGGCTTCAGCTATATTTCATTATATTTAACTGTGATCAGAATCCATGTTTTGCTTTTATACAAATATTGTACCTGTATTTATTGTAACATTTTAATCAAAACACCCCATCGTTGGCAGAGACCGATAGTTTACAGAATTTTCCTTCTCACGTTCACAATGACGTTATCGATGATGTACCCTATCCCTCCAGAGTCTCACACCTGATATAGAAGTAGTGTTTAGTGTTGCATTTATATATTTTTGTATCATATTTTTGTACACACCCAAAATGTATGATGTAATGGAATATACCTGTCACCCCCATGAGTGACTACACTATAAGTGGTAACTACCTATAAGTATCCGTAAGGAAAACGGACTACAGAGTCTAACTGGGATCTGTTGAGTACGACTCAGACTTACGCGAGAACTACCGACCTTCCAATAGTAGCACTCACTACGGGATTGACTTGCGACGATCGTGCGCATAACTGTTACCTTATTTCTTATTGTACCGGTTTTACAATAAACCTTATTTTATCCACCGTGTTTGTCAAGTATATATTCCTATTAGCACGGAATATAACAATTTAATTTCAGGTTCCTTGATAACACCAGGACCTGAACTGGCTTAAACCAGTTCTCCTCTTTATATTTATAACAATATACAAAACATTATTTTTACGGGAAATCTTAATTTCACCACTTAAAAATCCGTGTGAACATTACATGACTAGAGTTGTTACCTGTATCTGTATGTAGACAAAATTTATTAAATTTTATATAAAACTATCTTCCAGGTTTATGTATAAGCTGTGTTATGAAATGTAAAGGGATATCGTGTTTATGCTTGGATTCCATTCCTAAGCTGCCCCATTTTATAGATGCTATATACAAATTAAATAGCTTATATTCTAAAATCTGAAAAAAATTTAAAACCAAAGCACTTCCGGTCCCAAGAATTTCGGATAAAAGATTCACAACCTGTATTTAACTTAATAGAGTTTATTTTTTAAAAAAAATGGGTGGGCGGCAAATATAAAAGACAAGGGATCAAAGATTTGTTGGATAAGTAGCCAGTATTCATTGAAAATAATGGTGAATATACAACTGAATAAAATATAATTCAAATTTATTTTTTGAAGAATAAAGTTGATAAACAAAAGCGGAAATTATTTATGAGCCAGTCTAATAAATATTAGGTAAAGAACACTTGTAAACCCGGCATTTAAAAATAAAATAAAATGTATATAAAACGAGTGCGACATCAAATTCGCTTTAGACGGTGAACGGCTAATTTATGTCTTAATACAAGATCTACAAGATGTCTTACACTAGCGTTCCGTTGCGCCTGCACAAACACGCGTACGACTGCGCATGTGCGCCGATTGGATAGTAACAAACGTCCTGTCGGGCGGACGGTCCGAAGACAACTGCTGCACACCCACAAAACAATAATAAACAGCGAGCCAACGCTGAAAACGTAATCAATAGTATCCGCGTGAGGAATCACACCGGTTGTTGGTCGCTGCCATTTCCACAAAGATCTCGCTTTCTTTACAACAGTCGATAATGGCGGACCATAGCCGTTACTTTGGAATAGATACTAAGACGTGATAAAGTGGCAGAAGGGGAGAGAAAGAGAAAGAGAAAAAGAAAGAGAGAGACCAACCGCCCATAAAAACAGTTTTTGTTCCCTGTGTACCAATTTAACGGATGTTCTCTTCTTTCAGTAGCCAGTTATAGATTGTGTATCCACCTTCGGTGAGATATAGAACGAACAAAAGACGCTTTCCCCGTTCGAACGCAGTGTTTTATCGGGATCTATATTAATGATGAATAAATAAATACAAGTCTTCGTAGTGTGGGCAGCGAAAGCACAGCCTTTCGATTTTCTTCTCTCGCCATGTCGACGCTAACGGCAAGCGACGGCAATTGGATGTGTGAACATGGGCAGAGGATAAGTGAGACCGTGAAGGCGTCGGGAGGCGGCCTAACCAGAGACTGATTGTTGTATTTAAAGCTATGAAAATCCAATTGACCTTCTCGGGAAAGAAAGACAAGACAAGGCTTTAGAAGGGTCATTGAACAGTGACGCAAATGTCACAAAACGTGTTTTGTTTGTTCATCTATTTTTAATTGTGTAGTAATAACCGTATCCACTCATCAGACAGAATATGTGCAACCCGGTTTTACCAAATTGATGAGCGGAGACTTCTCACTTTTGCAGTTAAATTAGGGAAGAGTATTTTACGAACACTGTCCGAGAACTGAAGAACGGACGTGATTTACAGACGCAGTTCGAAAAGGGGAAACAACTCTATTTTACGAACGTAGTCCGACAACGAATGAAGAAATCTATTTTACGAATGCAGTCCGCGAACAAAGAATAGCTGTGTTTTACGAACGCAGTTTGAGAACGAAAGAAAAACGCTTTTTTTACGAGCCAATTTCGATATCGGGAGAACAACGCTATATTACGATCACATTCCGAGAACAGAGACTACCTCTGTTTTACGAACACATTCTGAAACCTAGAAACAACGATATTTTGCAAACACAGTCCAAGAACGGAGAACAACAAAGTTTTACGAACACATTTGGATGACGAATGAACAATGGAGTTTTACGAACACAGTCGGAGAACTGAAAAGTTCAAACATTCGGTCGGCACATAGGTTAAAAGCGTTGACGCTATGTAAAAATTGAAGATTTTCTTTTACTATTGTTTACCCAATACAAGGCCCAATGGCCACTCAAGGTAGAGGTTACTGTGTGGATTTGTATTAGCGTAAGAAAGGGTAAAATAACAGGAAAGATAGCTAATTCTATATAGACTTGAAGAGGTCAAGATTTAATTAGCGAGTTAAATTTCAGAGTTCAGGCGAAGATGTTAGGAGTATAGAATTGAAGTAGACTTTAAAAGGAACTAGAAACCCAATCCTAAACAGTAAAGAAGGGATGAACCTCTACTCCTGTTCAAAAGAGCGGGGAGGAGTGTGAACCGGATGATAGGAAAACCTATGTACACTTGCAGTTAAATTGTGGAATAATATGCGAAGCAAAAACGCCAAAAGAAGATTTTTAAAAATGTGTAAAAGTTAGGAAATATATTGTGAAAGTTAACAGGTTGAGTGTTTGTATGCATTTTAGATTAAGGTGAGTGCTCAATATATAAAAACATCGAAGCATACAAAATTTGAGTTTCTACCACGGACCTTTATTTTTTTTATGGTGACTGTTAGCGGAACAAAGTTGTCAATGTGTCTTCGGTATGTCTGTTCTCTTTCTGGGCCAGAAAGTTAGAGTAGGTAAATGTAAGTATCGTATTAATGGGTAGATAAGTGTAAGTATCGCATTAAAAGTCAGCTTTTCGCAGAGTTGAAACGACCAAAGGAGAGATTCTACTTATTGTAGCACTGGGAGATTTAAACATGGTTATGGTATGTCCGTTTTCTTTTTCTTGGCCTAGTAATTTAGGGTAAGTCAGTACAAGTATTGTTACTATGGTCGCGCTTGAGTCAGTCTTGCGCTGAGTTGGAACAACCAAAGAGAAAGCTTGACAGTTAATGTTGTGGGTTTTGAAGAAACGTGCGAGCGCCATGCGTTGGAAAGTGGAAAGAGAGCATATATATATATATATATATATATATATATATATATATATATATATATATATATATATATAAACTAAAAAGCTCTCTGAATTGGTTACACTATCTGGCTTAACCTGAATTGTGCAGTTGAAAAAACTTATCTCTAAAGTTTTGGACACCTGCTATAGAGCACTGCGTAACAAAACAACGATGACTATCACGTGTTCGATTCTTATCCCCAGTACCATATACGTGGGCGCATCAATGTTCATAACATCAAAACAAAAAAAAGACATTTATTTTACACAAATATCTTTTTTTCAACATAATCTATTGACTTGTCAATGTCCTTAATCCAAAGCTTATTCGTTAATAGAATATTAGACAGTGAACATTTCAGATCAAATTTCGGGTAATAACTGCCTGGCTACGGACTTACTGATCCAACCCCGTATGGGTTATCTTGTACTATCCTCAGCTTTAGTGCGCCTCACTCGAACAGTAAGTTAGCGAAGTATACTAACTCCCCAATGTAGTAAGCTCGATCCGTACGAGCACCCAACTAATAGGACCAGACTAGGCTCTTTTGTCATTTATGTGCTGTTTTTTTTAGGGCATGGCGATCATGACTCTCCACAGCATCCCTTCCCCTGTAGCTCTAAACAACGTTTGACCTTTTACTATTTCCCTTTGTCCCTACTCTGTCACCGATTCATTTCTTTTTATGTGACATATCCCTTCGAGACGTGAGCGGTCATGGCCCTCCACGATTTCCTGTCCCTTGCAACTTTCGATTCTTTAGCATTTCTCCTTGTCCCTATTCTGCCATCCATTCACACAAACTTATCAGGTAGTTTAGACCGTCTTCCTCAGTCCCTGCTGCCTTTATTATGTCAAGTGAGTGTTGAATTCAACAAGCCCTCTTTTCTCATTATGTCTCTTTCTGATTTGGGGTAACTATGTCTCGCTGAGGGTAATAATTAACAAGTCTGGCAAATGATTGATACTACAGAGAGTTCGATCTTCACTGTTTTCTCTGCGTATGTATCCTTGTACCAGACTAAGCTAAGAATGGTAAATACCTGTCAATTAACCTACCTGTGAAGCAGCAGTTAGCAAGTTAGTCTAAAAACTATTACTACTGTAGTGTTTTACTCATTTTCCAGACAAAGTTGAGTTATTGATTAATAGCTGGACGCCATATGCTCATGAATTAATAATGAGTTTCAGTATTCTAGCTTAGCGTGAGTTACTTAAACCAACGAAGATATGAAAAGTCTTCTTTCTTTTATGTGCCGTGTTTCTTCATGACGTAAGCGATCACGGCTCTCCACCTCTTCCTGTCGTTTGTAGCTCTTAATAAGTTTTGTTCTTTTGTTATGTCTCCCTGACCCTGTTCTGCCATTCACTTGCTCAATCTCATTAAGTATGTCAAGTGTTGCTTTCCTCTGTCCCTCTTTCCTACTATCCGTCCTGTAAGTATCAGATTTTCTAAGTACTCTTTCCTCATTATCTGCTCCAGTAATTTCAACTGCCTCTTCCTGATGTTAAGTGTTGTGGTGTCCTCCCTCTAAAGAGTCTATGTTGGACTCTTCCGCCTACTATAAGATTAGTAGGAGAGAAGGCCTTAGGAGAACAGTCGAATAGATGGAACGCTGAGTCAACCGACACACACTCACTAGTCGTGTAATACTCTTCTGTTGTACTTACTGTTTAATATATGATATATCTGCAACACTTGTTTTGTTATTTCTTTAACCATTTACTTGGTCACAACATCTTCAGCCAGAAAAGTGGGTGTTGTGGTGTCCTCCCTCTAAAGAGTCTATGTTGGACTCTTCCACCTACTATAACATTAGTAGGAGAGAAGGTCTTGGAGGGATAAACGCGTAATTTTATTATAGTAAACAAGTAATTGTATTATAGGAAAAAAAACAATTTCATTATAGAAACCGCGTAATTTTATTATAGGAAAAGACGCGATATTTTTATAGAAGAAAGCGCGTAATTTTAATATAGAAAACGCCTAATTTTATTATAGAAAAACTGCGTTAAAGTTTTATCCAATACCTTAATCCATTAATTAATTAAAACGTTGGTTAAAACTCTTCTATTTTATTGGGTCCGGTAGCTCTAAAAGTTCTGAACTCTGTTTCACTGTCAGAAACGGACAAGGAAGATTGAGACTTGTCCCAGATTGACTGAAATATTTCCGAAGTATGCAAAGCACAATAAGAAAAATCTACCCATGTAGATTGAATAAAGTGTTTTTTTTGTGTGTGTTTTTTGTTTTTGTTTAGTTTGTTTGTTTTGTTAGTTTTTTTTTTGTTTTTTTTTTTTTGCAAAGTTTTCTAGAAGCTTACCAAGTACAACGAAAGGCACCTGAAGAAAGCCGGAACGTGCAACGGTTGAAACACTGTGGGTATAAGGTGAAAAAGTCGGTCGGAATAGCAAAGCGAATAATAATGATAATTCCTCATTAATCAAATCGGTAATAGCCGAAACGTTGTGAGTATAACAACCAAGATGAGAATGCTGGTCCGAATAGCAAATCATATAATAATGATAATTCTTCATCTCAAGAATTCAGACTGAAAATGATCAAATCGGTAATAGCCGAAACGTTGTGAGTATAACAACCAAGATATGAATGCTGGTCCGGTTAGCAAAGTTTTTGATCACTTTACCCTATTTGAAAAGCATGAATCCCCTTCTCTCAACTATGAATAAACAGTAGGTCAGTAGGAGTCATTTAGCCACGTAAGACAGTCCGACTGGGTGTCTGGCTAACTAGCATCCCGTCCCTGTATATATTTACTTGTGACTATTGAAACAGTAGCAGCATCACTTGCTGTGATTACGACCCAACGTTCGATAACTCTGAAGAAGGGAAAATAGCATAAAGAGTCACACACACGCACAGAGACAGACAGGAAGACAGACATAGATAGATAGATAGATAGATAGATAGATAGATAGATAGATAGATAGATAGATAGATAGATGAGAGAGAGTGGGGAAGAAAGGGTGGGATGGAAAGAGATAGACAATTCGACTACAGTGTCGATTTGCCCAGATTTTGTTCACGTGGAAACGTGTTAATTCTCGGACGCCATTTAAATGTACACCACTCCCGGTTTATTTATTTTGGGATATCTTTCTAGAGACCCACAGCCGGAGTTTATAAGGACCGCCCCTACATTTTGACCGTTCCCAGTCACCCGACACAATTAGAGTCAACAAGCCGAGCAAAATGAACATTATGGAAATACTGTCGATTTCATTTACGCATTTTAAGAGATTATTTTGGAACATTAGAAAAATTAATAACGAAGTGGAAAAAAAAAGTTGTCGTGTGACGTGTTTCGAGCTTTAAGACTTCATCGGACTAAACTGATGTATACGTTGACACATACGTTCTGGATAAACTACATCCAGCAGCAAGACCTCTGATCAGGAGGTTTTGAGGAGGGTGGAACCACCACTTAACTGTTTTTATTCCCAGGTCCAACCTGACTCGAAGTGATAGCACCTGTTAGGGTCACGGCTATAAACAAATAGCGAACTCCGAAACAAAAATCAGTACCTATGGACAAATAGTTACAAAACTGGTGTCAAAACTGTATAAAGTATAAAAATAGATTTTTATTGTAAAAATACCATCAGTACATTAAAATATTACCAACAATACATTTGACTCTCGAAAAAAAACCCTCTTTACAAAAAAAAAAAAACAAAAAGAAAAAAGCCAATGAAACCTGATCTATAAACTGATTTCTTACAAAGAATACATATTCTATTCATACGAACCTATGCTAAAAATCGTGTCGGCATTAAATAACCCATTGAGGTTGATATGTTGTAAAACAAAAAACCAAACCAAACTACACATGCGAGCAAAGTGGATGAAACATTGAACTATATAATAAATAATATATATATATATATATATATATATATATATATATATATATATATATATATATATATATATAATTGTGTATTTCAGCAGCAATCCCTCTTTTATACAAGTTACATTAAAGACGACTGACAAGATACTGCGGTTAAGTTTTTTTTTATTTAATTTTCTTGTATCCGTAAAACTGTTTTCTTTTCTGGACATAAGGTGTGTAAAAATTGTCTGAATGTTCAATATATCCGAACGCTTTCGGCTATTCTATTAGCCATTATCATGGATGTCTTTTTATTTATTTATTTTTCAACTGAATGTGGAGATTTATATATATATATTTCCAGAGTTATGCGAATGTTTTCGTTTTTTTTTTGTTTTGTTTTGTTCTTTCAAACACAGCATAGTGTGATTGTGTTCATAGTCGATGTTATTGCGTTTTGTTTTCTTTTTTATTATTAGTGCTTACATTTTTTTATCTTTTTTTTTACATGTGGATAATAGCCTCTATTATACTTGTATTTTCTACAAGTATGTTGCGGATGGAGATTGGTAGGTTTCTGTGTGTGTTTAAATAAGTCTTAATTTAGCTATGGTCAGAGAGGTGAAATGTGAGTTTTCATGATAGACATGTGGTGGTATGCTCAATATAATTATTCATGACTTTGCTTTGATCAGGAACGCAGTTTCTTAAGGGACATGTGAGTTCATGAATAATATAGGTTCTCTGTAATTTAGAACTAGCAGGTGAATTGTTTTTGTTGTTGTTGGTGGTGGTGGTGTTGACGGTAAGAATAGCTGTTTTATAGTAGATAATTTAATTTTCTTCTGTTCTGGTCGACTGGGGTTGCGCATTATTCCCCAGTCAGTTATGTGCCATGTGTGATACACGCTTAGGCGATCATGTATCCTTCGATACATGACTGACGAGGCAGATTTTTTCCCGCAGTAGGTTGCCATTTCTGTCAGCTGTCATTCGAATAAATGAATGAATAAAAATGACAATAGGAAAACTGGTAATTGCTGACGCGTTTCGTCCAATGTGGACTTTATCAAAGCAAAATACGAAAATTACCAGTTTTCCTATTGTCATTTTTATTCATAAATATTGTCTTCTCTAGTGGTTAAATCAGAGAAATTTTATATATATATATATATATATATATATATATATATATATATATATATATATATATATATATATATAACGAAGCGGTGCTGAAAAGTTGAAAAATTATCGGCCCGACTAAGAATGACTTACAAAAAATAAAAATTTGATATCTTGTCAAATTCTGGGAAGTGGGTCAGATCGAAAATTTACCTGCACCGCGTCATATTTTTTTTTTTTTAATTTCCTTCTATGTTTTCGCAGGTTTGAAGTCAAACTTAAAATTTTCCAAATTAGAAGTTACAAATACGTGAGTGAAGCCAGCCGCGTTTGTCTTAAGAGAGGAAGAGAGATAGAGGAAGGTGTAAAGTGAGAAAAAATAAAAAAAAAAAAAAAAAAAAAGAAGGAAAACCAAAAAGAGACATAGAAACAGGTTCGCGTTATTTTTAGACTCACTCAATTTGCGCACACGGTCGCACACACAGACACAGCTACGTACAATTTACATTCGACAACGGCTTTGTTTTCGTCCGGCGCCGGGCGAAATGGCGGTCGGAAACGCATTTTGTCGAGTGGAATATCGTGAGAGCTATGAAAATCAGGATTCAAAATCCTGGCTTTAACTCGCTCATTAGTAGCCGAATCGAGAGGCTATGGCTGTAGAGTAACGGATACCAGTAAACCAAGATCGAATTCTGATCTCGCCCGTTAAGTTTATTTTCGCTATAAATGTCTGTACATCCGTATCGCACCTCTGGATTACTCACCAGAATAAAACTGGACTCCCTATCCTTGGTTGCCAACCATTCTAAGAGAAAGAAAATTATGGACTCCAAGCGATAGAAAGTAACGGGGAGCTACCCCGTTATCTTTCTCAAGAATACGTAGCAATTCACAGTTAACCTGTATCTAACATCATTTGCTACACAAAAAGTTTATTCTGCAACTGACGGTGACTCTGATCCCTGAGAAATAGTGTGTTTGAATTTTCATAGTTGTGTTGTCATATCCTTCTAGGGCAACAGAAAACAACTTTGAGTGAAATTAACAATAAGGATACTGCAATTGAAAGGTATTGAAAAATAATGCAATAGAACAGCGGAATAATATTAATAATACAGAGTGTTAAAGGTTTTAATAAAGAAAAAGATCTTAAGAAGAAGAAAAAAAAACGGTAGGAATTAGTAAATCCTACCTACCAAGAAGATCTAGATTATAATTAATCCATTATCATTCCAACAGTTGTTCAGGCAATTCAACTCATTCTTACGTATTTCATAATCTTAGCTCTGTCTGACACAAGGGAACAAGATAAAGGCACCCAGTGTGGAGCCAACTCCCGACATTAGCGAAATCGGTAGGGAAGATTAACTAATGCGCTAACTTAATAATTTTTCTAAAGTTAGGCTTCTCTGGCACAAGGACATAATAGTTGAAATACTCTCAGCAGGCTTAGTTTAGTCGGGCACAAGGCTAAAGGTATGGAGTACCCAGTGAGAATCGAACTCGCTACACTAATATTCTGCTTGAGGTGCTTACTAACTTTTACGTTTTCGACGAAACGTCAAAAATGTATTTACATTTAGCTTAGTTTGACACAAGGCCGTGTTTGTAAAGTGCTTTATGGTTTGCCAGATTAACTTGACTGATCATCGATTCAGACAAGTGATCGCAGGATAGATAGATAGATAGATAGATAGATAGATAGATAGATAGATAGATAGATAGATAAAAATATGAGCATATAGATAGATAGATAGATAGATAGATAGATAGATAGATAGATAGGTAGATAGATAGATAGATAGATAAAAATATGAGCATATAGATGATAGATAGATAGATAGATAGATAGATATAGATAGATAGATAAAAATATGAGCATATAGATAGATAGATAGATAGATAGATAGATAGATAGATAGATAGATAGATAAAAATATGAGCATATAGATAGATAGATAGATAGATAGATAGATAGATAGATAGATAGATAGATAGATGGGAAGAGAGAGAGAGAGAGAGAGAGTCGCTGGAAATCCCCCTCCCAGACATAGTTTTTCCCTTAATGACTAAGAGTAGTAAACCCAATGAACACACTGACGCTTGTGGCAATATGCCGTTTAGAATTGGGCATATTTTTGTCGCTACCAAACACAACGGTGTTTCTAGGTTTTTCACGGCCAAAAAAGATTTTTTTAAAAAGTGAGAAAAAATTGATGGGTTCTTGTGCAGCATCTAATCTCAGTTGGGAAGATGGGTAACATATTGACGGAGATAGACAGACAGACGGGAAGAGAGAAAGAACTATACAAGTGAAAACGCGAGCAAGGGAAAGCAGCCGAGAAGCCGAAGAAAAATGTATTTAGATGCTAGAGAGAATCAACAGATATAAATGCCTCTTCCGTTGAATGTGTCGAAGCGCGCGCTTTTATCTAAAAGTTTTCTTCTTTTTCTTTTTCTTCTTCTTTTTCCCCTACTCCCGTCTGTCAATCCTGCAGGACGACGCAGGGGCAAGGCCGAATTTTAACGAAGTCATCTGCAGAGTCACAAGTAAACGAAACCTGCAAATAGCAAATATGAAAGCTGAACTGGGGAGTGGGTGACCAACACCGTTTGAAAGATAATGTTCGATACACCAGAAAAAGGAATAAGTGTTAGGGTGCCCCAATGGTGGGTTAATTGTTAGCGAGCTTACTCTAACCATTTAAAATACTAGTGTGCTTGATTCTTCTTACAAGACGTGCTCCTTGTGGCATATATGCTTTTTAGTAAATAAATAACTACAACCTTGTTAGGGACTGCACTTCACGTGCCTTCGTGACAATAGGAAGATCCGTGGAGATAAACGTTTTCGGTCCATATGCGATCACTTGGAGATTATGAATCAATTATATTCATTGAGGCTTGTTGGTTACACCTAACCTCATATTTCGAGACAGCTTTTTTTTCTCTGTTTTTTTTTTTTTTCAAATATATAATTTTTCGACAGTATGCCACTTCGACGATTATCCTGGAAGGTAGGAAATAAAAAAAATATAAAAGTAAAACACAATATTAAAAAATTTCTTCTAAAAAAAACGGGGAAGAGAAGAGTGTTTGATCACGTGATTTAAGCTGCAGTTGGAAACAAAACTGTTTTTGTTGTTTTCTTTTTTTTTTTTTGTTCATACCCATGGGACAATCGCCACAATTTTACTAAATGTGTGTGTGTGTGTGCGCGCGCGAGCGCGCGCGCGCGGTCACGCTTACTATGAGAAAGGCAAACGATTTTATTTTATTTTCCCCAATTTTTTAAAAATTATTATTATTATTATTTTAACGTATTCGGAGATTCAAAAAAAAAAATGAAAACCTTGCGTTTTAAACTATCATTGTGGTTATTATTGGCCGTCCCTTGTCTTCTTAATTACAGGTAAAGGGCAAAGTAGCCTATTCCTTATCCCTGCACTACCACCGACACTACCACCAAACCTTCACTACACCCACCCACCCAACCGCCCGCCCTCTTCTTTACTTTCTCTATCGGGCCAGCATGTGTAGCGGGCACCACACTGTGGCATCGCCAACAACAATTGAACATATAGGAAAATATCGATCTTGAAATTCTATGTATTTCTTTCTTTTCCTTTTTTTTTTTTTTTTTTTTTCTTTTTTTACTTCATTTTCAATTCACGGTCTTCTTTCGTAGATTTTTCAATTGCAATTCCGTACCACATTCGGGACAAGGAGACGAAGAAAGAGAAAAAAAATTTCCAGCACCACAAGCAGAGGTAGGGCGCTTCGGCGTAAGGTAACGGTTAACGAGCTATTTTGGTTGACCAGTGGGTCTCAGTAGTGAGTACGATCCTCACTGGGTTCCCCATGCTTGTGACCTTGTGTAAAAACAAAAAAACTAAGCTTAGTTAAAAAATGAAAATGACAAGACAAGCAGAAGTATAGAAAAAAAAAGTGTTTATGATGTTTTCTAGTTTGGGACATAAATGTGTCAAAATTATACAATAAATTTTAATACTTATTTTTGTAAGGCACAAGGCCAAACGGAATATGCAGAAAATAAGCCTAAGAACGATTTTGTGAATATATGCATACGTCATTCTTCCAAAAGTGGTGACCGCCTGCGTACACCTAGAAAATCAACATTGGGAGTCTTTTTTTTTTTTTTTTTTTTAAATCAAGTCACGAAACACCTACCTCGGGCGGGCACCGATGGAAAATATGTGAATAAAACTCATTTGTTTGTTCGCTTGTTTGTTTATTTTCTTTCTTGTTTTATAAACTCAACAAGACAGGGACGTAGCGGCCGGTTGCGGGGACTTGGCTCCCCATCCCACAAAAAAAACATTTTTTGCCAATTGTAGTATTTTTTTTTTTTTTTTTACAGAGTTTTAACAAAATACAATATAAAGAAAGAAATACAAAAAAAAAAAACTATCAAAGCAAAGAGGTACTGGAAATTTTATAAATTTTCTTGCTGCTAACCATGTTGTCGGCCTTTAAGGCTAAATTCAAAATTTTTAACCCCCCCTCCCCCTCTTTCCCACCAAACATTTGTCTTCGCTACGGCCCTGAGAAAGAAAAACAGTTAAATAAAAATAAAAAATGAAAATGAATAGCTCGACAGGTTCAGGTATACCGTACGTACGAAAACTGATTGTATTCAACAATAAAAAAAGCCGTTTCAGTTTACGGCCTCTTCGACTGCAATTGGTCCCGGTGTATATATATATATATATATATATATATATATATATATATATATATATATATATATATATATATATATAATTTATAATACCTAGCTAGCTACCTTACACACTAGCTTCAATCATGTCTCCTCCATCGTTGAGATAAATCTTCGTTTTTACTTCCCACGAGTCTCCAATGATCGGTGTTCCATTCGACTCGAGGTCCGAAACCAAGATATCGACTGTTGATTTAGTAGTGATTGTCAATGCAACAGCGCTTTTTCCCTATTCTTTAGAAGAAAGGCACAAGGCAGTATCACTCCCACAACACACACATACACATACACACACACACAGGTGCGCACGCGCGCACAGACACACAGGGTCGCACACGCTCACACACACACACACACACACACACACACACAGTTTGGCCTCGTGCCAGACGAAGACCTTTGTACGATCACAGATAAATTCAAAGGAGAGATTCATATATATGAGTAACTGTAATTTCGTTTGGAATATTATTTCAGGGTCTTCCATATGTCTGTGTAGTTTGTTTTGACTTGTGTATTTGAGCAGGAATCCCTCATCTTTCATACGTGTCTCATTAAAAATAACAGACAAGATACTTCTTTTTTTTTTTTTTTTTTTTTATTGTGTTTTTCTTGTGTGCAAACGAGAGATTTCTTTTGGAAACATAGCGTATGTAGAGAAACTGTCGAAATAATTCTTCATTCCGAGCACTTTCGGCTATCACTCATCTATTAGCGTTTTCAAGGATTTCACCTGGTCTTGCTATGGCAAATGGTGTTTAGATTTCTAAAGAGTAGTAAACGATAATATATATATATATATATATATATATATATATATATATATATATATATATATATATATAGAGAGAGAGAGAGATAGATAGATAGATAGATAGATAGAACAAGATAGATAGATAGATAGATAGATAGATAGATAGATAGATAGATAGATAGAGAGAGAGAGAGAGAGAGAGAAAGAGAGAGAGAGAAGTAGGTAAGTTTGCATCCAGGCTTTTTTTTCTCTTTCTTTTTTCAGTATTGGCGTTTTCCGAGACTGTTAAGAGTTTTAGGATTAGGCAAGTTGTCTGTTGGTTCCATCAACTATTTTGTTTTTTTTTTTGTTTTTGTTTTGGTTTTTTTTTTTTTTTTTTTTTGTTTTTTGTTTTTTAATACATCAGTCAGAACTAATGACGGTTTCCGAATTCTGCTGGAGGGTGCATATTTTTCTAACAAAAATTTTTTGATTATTCAGGCCGGTAGATGGAAATAAAAAATAAATATACTGTTTGATAAATAAATAAAAAAACTAAAAAACATAGCATCTACTTAAATATGAGTATACATTAATAACGTTTAAGCAAAGAGAGAGAGAGAGGGAGAGGGAGAGAGAGTCATCCACACACACACACACACACACCACATACATATATATATATATATATATATATATATATTATGTATGAGTGTATTATAACGACCACCATGATGTTGATACTGCTGAGTAATAGACTATATATTATATATATATTCATCATTATATGCATAATTTTATGTGTGTAGTGTGTGTATTGCGTCCATAAGCTGAACGTTTGTATAATTTACTTTACTCGTGATCCGCTCAGTAAATTAATATGTGTCTTCTTCCTATGTTCTTCGGTTACCTGGGCACAATTTCAGAGAGTTCTTATGAATAAATAAATAAAAGCTATAATTCGTTATTTTAATTGCACATGCAAGCAAGCAGTCATGCCGTGGTAAACAAAAAAAAAAAAAAAAAACGACAACATCGGATGATAATATTATTAATAAATAAGGAATAATTGTCTTCTTTTTTCCAGAACAGATTCCAAAATGAAGGAAAGACGAGACAGGAGTTGAACGGAAGAAAGAAGAAAGCGAAAAGGGAAAGATTTTTTTTCCTCCTGAAATCTACAGTTTTAAATGGGATGTTTCAGTTCAAAGCGTGAAATTTAACTTCCCCAATGATATTATTACAAACAAGAGGGGACGTTGTTTTAAAAACAGTAACGATTTCAATTCAGTTGTTTTAAGTTTCTGGGTTTGTTTTTTTTTTTTGTTTTGTTTTGTTTTTTTGGTTTTTTTTCCTTAATGGAAATATTTTATTCAGATAATGGATTACGAATTTCAGGAAATAGAAAGAGAAAAAACAATAAAATTAGTATTGATGAACATTACATTTTAAAACGACTAACATAGCAATTCCCTTTTTAGTTTTCTGTTTATTTATTTCTACCTTAGAATAGTAGGCCTTTTAGTTAAAAAAAATTTAAAAGATCGTATTTGCACACACATGTCTCATAATTTCTAGCCCTGTACCACACTAGATTTGGTACACATATGAGCAATCTGTTGTGGAATAATGATTGGTTAGTAACTTAGTAAGATGCCCTTATAGGCCATTACTGTAGTTGTGAGTTCGGCCCTCACTAAGTGCCGCATAGTTGCGGGCTTCTACCATGAATAACTAAGCTTATTGGTTTTTAATTAAATACATTACTACAAAAAGAGTAATTTTTAATGGATGTCCGTATTTGAGTAGACGTCCCGTTTTGTTTTGTTTTTTATTTAAAAATGCTATTTATTCCGGACTATATTACTTCTAACAAGCGTTATTAGAAAATTATATATGAAGTTATTGTAAAAATTTTTGATTAAAAGTAAATCCATATATATATATATATATATATATATATATATATATATATATATATATATATATATATATATTCCTTCCTCGGTGAACTGTCGTTATCTATGACTACTGAAGAAAAAATAATCACGCATTATCATCGGTGTCATTGGTGTCGGTGTTCGATCACAGGAAAGAGATTTAATTTCGATAGGTGCTTTAAAGAAGGTTATGCTCTTCTTATCCTTTCTTGGAAGCTTGATGTAACCTACACTTTCTACCTTTCTTTGCTTCCCTCATCACGCACACCAGAGCACCAGCTACATTTTGTTCGCGAAGTGATTCCGAAAGTGTCAGTAAAAGAAAAACACCACATCATGAATTTGATATTTGCTTAGAGAGTTAATAAAAACGTATCAACATCTTTCAGGGCATCACTGTATATTGGGTGGCATGAAAAAAATGGTTAGGTAGCATAAGAAACGTTCACATTCACCTCCAATCTAATAAATTTGAAATGAATGCTATTTTTTTTTTTTCATTTTGTATCTTCCTAGGCAAATGAAAATTTGTCGACGTCAATATTTCCTTCCCACTACATGTCATGAGCCTAAAATTTCTGTTTGCAAACAAATTCGAAATGAAACTTTAATCCTAATATATCTGCAGTTCCAGGTAATGTTCAAACCACCCTCTATTTAGGCCCCATTATTATTATTATTATTATTATTATTATTTCCTTGGGTTTCTGTTGTATATACATTTCCTTCCGGGTCCCAACCAGAGACCTAAGGTCAGAAATGGCTTTATGATATTTTCCACTGATTATTTAAAAAAAAAATCACACACATTTTACGTCGATAAAGAAAGCTCTTCGTATTGTGAGAGCTGTACTTGTGAGTACAATATTATTATTATTATTATTATTATTATTATTGAGACTGTCTGAAATATGCGGGTATTTTTATAATCTCTCTCTCCTTTTCTCTCTCCCGTCTTCTCTCTCTCTCCTTCTCTCTCTCTCTCTCTCTCTCTCTCTCTCTCTCTCTCTCTCTCTCTCTCTCTCTCTCTCTGCCCGCGCTCTCAGTATTGGGAGCTTGTTAAGGTGATATAGAAAACGAAAAGCTCATCTCTCTGGATTAACAATGAGTTCCACGCTCGCTGTACTCCCCAATTGCCTGCCCTGTACCATACTAGGTTAACCGAGGACGCCTTGCCGTAGACTTGAGCTGAGAATAATAATTGATTAGCAAACAAACTCTTCTTGCTGACTATTATTCGCGCGTAGCAAGTTCGATTAAAAAAAAAAGATACACATTCGTGGCCCTGTATCAGACAAACTTAAAGTCAATACATTGCATTCTTGTAAAATCTATATACTAAAAAGCAAATCCAGGAATGTGACACCAAATGATTTTTATGCTTATTCAACAGTATAGTCTTCGATGTCGTATGTGTGTGTTTGTGTGTGTGTGAGCAATCGAATGCTTAAATGAAATGCGTACTATCGATAATAAATGTTTGTTTATACACTAAGTCAGGAAGCATGTGAATGTGTACACAGTATATACTCGTGTATAAGGCGACTTCGTGCATAGTACGACCGCTGAATTTTTTGCATAAATTTTAACCCCCACCCCCGAAAAAAATTACCTGTGTATAGAGAGTGAAACCGGTCACCGAATGTGCATGATTGTGAAACTCTTCAAAAAAAAAAAATTACCTACACTGTATATAGTGCGAACTCCTATTATTTATGTAAAAAAAAGATAAAAAAACACGTAATTATACTCGAGTACACACGATATGTACTTTTTTTATTCTTGCTTCTTTCTGTATTTGTTTAACGCTTATCTTTTTTTTAAATGAATAAAAAATTTCTACCTCTTTTTCTTTTTTGACTTTATTTATAGAACAAACCAGAATAATCGAACAAGCAAGTGTTAGCTTAAAGATATGATGCAATAAAATAAAAAAATAGAAATAAAAAAATTAAAAAAAAAAAAAACGGAAGATCAGCCCAACCCCCAAGTTGAATATATGAAGGGAATGGTTACCCTGGGGGAATGTTATGTAGCCAACAAGAACCCGAAGGGAAGAAAGAAAGAACAAAATACAAGCACTTTTACACGCTACAGGTAAAGAATTTTATTCTGAATTTTGGATAAATAGCTGATCAAACATCAGTTTATCGATTGTACCAACAAAAATGACATTATGCAATATCTGATATTTTGATTTTTTTATTTACTTATATCCAGTTTTTGTGCGTGCGAAATAAAATAAAATAAATAAAAAACGAAGTTGTGCAGTGCTAATCGTGAGAGAAAAGAAAAAGGTCCCGATAAATCATTTTCTTCATTTCATTTCACGATGGTTGAATCAAAAAGTAATTTGATATGGAATTTCTCACCACTTATGTTAGGATTATATATTTTTAAAAAAATGGTAAAGTTTAACTCGTGTTGCTGTTAATAAAAATACATTTCTTCAATCGGATAATCTTCTTTTTACAAGAGTGAAATGATAAATTAAAATAAAATAAAAACGTCGAGAAATTAAATGAACCTTCTTGATTATTAATTTGTGTATTTTTTTTTTAATTAATGAAGTTTTTTAAGAATCAATACTTAAATAAATAAATAAAAATAGTGGTATTAACGAAGAATTTCTTTTTTAAAAAAGTAGAACTGACAGAATGTATGCTAGAAATAAACACTATTCAACAAAATAATAAAATTAAATTAAAAACTGCCCTTTTTTACCATGCTTCATATCGTGAATACGTCTTATCTAAAACTTTCGGCGTTTTTTTTTTTAATTGCACACAACAAATGTAAAATAAATCACTTTGCCATCTCTACATGTTAAAAGATTGGATATGTGCGTAATCATATGGCCGCCAGATATCGTAAACCGTACTGTAGACAATGTTTTGCTTTTCAAGGCAATAAGACTCTCCTTCGGATTTGAACTTAATTAAAGTAATTGCCGCTGTTATTTTGAAAATTCGTCAGAGTGTGTGTGTGTGTGTGTGTGTGTGTGTGTGTGCATGCGTGTTTATGTAAGTATGTTTCTCTGTACGTGTGTGCACATGCGTGTGTGCGCGTACATAAATGTATGTATGTATGTATGTATGTATGTATGTATGTATGTATGTGTGTGTGCGTGGGTGCGTGTGTGTTTCTCTGTGTGTGCGTGTTTGTGTTAATGTGTACGGGTATTTGTGCGCGTGCCCACGCGTGTTTGTGTGTGTAGGTTTCTTTGTATGTGTGTGTATGTGTGTGTCAGTGTATGCATGTGCGTGTGGGTTTCTGTGTGTTTGTGTGCGTGCGTACGCGCGTATATCTCTGTGTATGTATTTCCTTTTTTTCTTTTCTTTTTTTATTTCCTTTGAAACAATCTTTTCAAAGTTAGACGACATTTTATATAAGACGTGTGTTTGGCAGGAACACAAATTACTCAAACTAAAAAATTAAAATCTAGATTTCTTTCTTTTTTTTTCATTTTTTCATTTTTTTTTTTTTTTGAAGAAGAAGAAAAATAATATATAAAGAATGACAAAATAATATTTTTTCTTCCGTTCGTATACCACGAAGAAAAAAGATTTATACAAAAAAAAAAACAATAAAACAAATATAAAAAATAAAAACAAGGTAATCCTCGATTATAGCGACGTAAATCTGTTGAAAATTGGTGACCGCGTTTAAAAAAACGTGAATCTCGCAATAAACAGTATAAGAACACCCAGAAAGTTCTTTAAAATTAAAACGTACCCGAAGAATTTATTTTGAGGGAAATTGTTTGTAATAAAAAAAAATTACACCTGTAATTTTTGTCTTCCGTAAATATTGAATAAATTTTGCATGAAATAGCAACTTACGCAGCTAAAATACAGGATCACCACGAAAGAAAACTAAAAACAAAAACAAATAAAAATAAATAAAAAAATATTCCAACTTACTTTTTGTACTTTGCACATAAGTCCAAGAGCTTGAACCTCATGATTAATATGCCTACCTTCCTGGGCGCACAGGTAACATACGGGAGACTTGCAAAGCATGCAATACATACTAAGCTGCTCTTCGACATGCTCATGGCATTTGCTTTCTTTAATTTTACTCTTCTTGAGCAATATTTGACCCTGACAAGGGTCCACTAAATGGTGTTTGGCAAGTGGGCCACGTGGTGGGTGGCACCGGTCTCGACATGTGTCACAGTAAAAGATCTCACACTGTTCACACATACAAGACGCATCGTTGCAATGATCTTCTTCGCAGAGTTGACACTTTTTGATCATCGATGATCCGCTGGGGCCTTGCCCGAGGCCGCTGCCGCGACTAAATTTCTCGACCATCGATTCCAAGACACAACTTTTCGGTAGGGACTGAACTCCATGTTCATCCAGGTAAATGGTCTTTTTGCAAACGGGACACCGCAGACTAAAGACGCCCCTTTGGTGACCTGGAAAAATATACTACTCAGGCCTGGGGTTCCTATATAGCTGTTGGGTCGACTGTTACAAATAACGCCACTATCCGTTTCGCTGACAATACTAAGTTTATCGATATCAGGTAGATCCTGTTCCGATCCAACGACAGAACCGGCTCCAGGTTCATCCAGGATCCGGAGTTACCTGGGTTCCCACAGGAACCTCCGGCCATGTTCTGTGTCTGTGATTGTTGATGCTGCTGCCCGGCTGGGGTAGAAGATCTTGTATCTGAACAGCGCATACCGTGCACACAAGGAATGGAAACACGGCAATAGTATCGGATTACAAAAAGAACCGATTACAGACTGGACATTTTAGTTCTTCTTCCATCTTGCTGTTCATAGAATCGTGTCGTCGTGAAGTGGGTAGAAATCCCAGAAGATTTTAAAAAATGAATAAATAAATTAAATGAATAAATAAATAAATAAAATAACGATCCCAATCACTGGTTTGCTTGAAAAAAAAGGAAAAATGACGAACAGAACCCGTTGTGCTTAGGCCACGGCATCAACACATCGTTGCTAAAAAACAACTACTAGCCACTTTTTTTTTTTTTTGAATGTATATGAATGAAGGACAAAAAAAAAGATAAAAAATAATGTAGTAAAAAAAAAAAAAGTGTAAAACCAAAAGAAAGATGTTTCGTGAATCCAGACAGCAATAAACTTAACTTATGAACAGATAGATAGACCAGAATTTGGATGATGAAGTGTGCGTGTTGGTAATTCAGTTAGAAATAATGACGGTGATATCATATATAAAAAACCGTGTGGTGGGGTTGGTGTTAAAACAGTAGGGAAGAAGGGCGTAGCCTTCTCTCCCTACCTACACGAGTGATGACACTAGATGGAT